ATACAGCAGATGCACCGCCATCCTTCGACAGGGTCTTTGCGCAGGGATGGCCAGACCTCACCCTGACCACTCTGCACGTAGCACCTCTTTTGCAGGACTGGAAAGTCGAAGAGGAAGAGAGCCTCAGTGATCACAAGTTCATTACCTTCTCTATATCGCAGACCACCTCCGTGTCCAAGATCAAACGCTATAACCTTCCTGGCCGGAAAAATTAACAACATTTACGAAGAAAATTAAAGTGCAGCTAATGCGCCTCGAACCTTCGCTCCAACTAGCTAACACGGCAGCAGAATTAGAAGACTTCTCCGTAACATTACAAGAAACAATGCAAGCCATATGTAATGAAAATCTCCCTCTTAGAAAACCTAAGAGACTCCAAGGCATTAACTGGTGGTCGAGTGCGCTCAGAATACAGCAACGAAAGTGCAGAGCACCTGCGAAGAAAACTCAAAAGCGAAAGACGGTTGGAGATAGAGTCCAACACCCTCACCATATTTCAACGGGAGCGGGCGCGGTACAAAAAGATGATTATTCAGGCTAAGATTACTTCCTGGAGGGAATTCTGGAGGAATTCTGCACCCAAGCAAAAAAGACGTATGGTATTCACCACAAAATAGCTACCGGTAAAATTTTTAAACCTTCGCAGCTACAGATCCCTCTCTCAATCACCAACAGTCAGGAGTACACGGCAGACACCCTACGTACGCTCCTAAACGCAGTTTTCTGCAAAGACGATGTACTGCAGGACACAGCAGAACAAGCTCTTCTCAGGACAGTAACAACCACACTGGACACCCCAACAGACCCGGATATTACAATTAATGAACTTCAAAAAGTTCTTGCAACTCTGCCGCGCAAGAAAGCCCCTGGGCCCGATGGGATGGACTATGCTATCACCAAAGCAACGATCAAAACTCACCCTAAATTCTTTGTTGACTATTTCAACAAGCTTCTGGCAGCAGGTATATTCCCAAAACCCTACAAGATAGGGCAAGTTATTTTATTTCTGAAAAAGAACCGGAACCCAGCCGAGGCCACATCCTTTCGTCCTATCTGTCTCTTATCGGCAATGGGTAAGGTACTAGAAAGGATTATCATGAACAGGCTACGGTACCATTTACACACGCAAGGATTCTTAAGCTCGAGACAATACGGGTTTAGGACGGGCACTTCTACAGTCCACGCACTCTTCGACATTAGAGAAGAAGCAATTTTAGAGAATCGACATAGCGGCCACCATACTGCCATGATAAGCATCGATCTCAAGAACGCTTTTGATACATTATGGTGGCCGGCTATCAAACAGGCTCTGCGGAAGGCAAAATGTCCGAGCAACCTGTACAAGATGCTAAGCAACTATCTACAGGATAGAAGACTACTAGCAGTTCACAACTCAGGCATAATAGAACAGGAGCAGACGAGAGGCTGTCCAACGGGCCAGGCGGTGCACTGGCGAACAAGTCCACACCGTGTGGCTTAACAGTTGCTACACTTTGATAACAACACAGAAGTTTTAACCAATCTACGCTACACGTGACCCAGCGCAGCGGAAGTACCATCACCCCACAGACATAGCTTTAGTAAGCTAGTCGCAGACGACGCAGCGCTAATAATCTAACTTTCAACGAAGTGAATGGCCAGCGCACACCCAGATCTACGCCTACGCACGACCAGCGCTAATAGTGAAAGGTCAACCCAAAGAGAATTAGAGACTCACTGTAACGAAGTGTGCCAACAATTCTACGCCCTATGTGACAACCTTAAACTGAAAATTGCAGAGCACAAATCCAAAGTGTTATTAATACCTAAAAAGGGAGGTTCTCTTTCAAGAAGACCAACCATTAAAGATCAACAATCAGAGGATACAAATAGTCAATCAACTAAAATATCTGGGCCTTACGTTCGACCACAAGATGACCTGGATACCACACATCCAGGACATCAAAATTAGAACAGTGACAATAGCGAAGCAAATGCGATTATTTCATGGCCACAAATGGGACCTCAATCCTCATATTCAGAAGGTCCTCTTCACCACAGTGGTGGAAAAGATAGTCACTTATGCAGCAGCAGTATGGGCTCACCCAATGCAAAGCAGGAAAATTAAAAACACCTTTCTACCATTCAAAGACCCTTTGCATTGGGTATCACCAGAGCCTACCGCACGACCTCTTCAGATGCGATCAACGTGCTGGCTGGCCTCCTTCCCCTACACATCCGTGTCAAAGAGGAGGCAGCAAGACAAATCGTCCTGCAGCTTAAAAGACCTGTCACCTTTGACGAAGAATATTTTAATCCAGAGGACTATGAAGCTAAATGCTGCCCTCTGAAAATCCATCCAGCAGCCAAAGGCACCGGAATAAGCATAATTACCAATCCAACTACGGCCCACCGTCCAGCACAGATTACCATCTTCACTGACGGGTCGAAGATAGACGAAAACGTGGGAAGTGCCTATGTGGTCATGCTGCAAGATACAGTCATAGATCAATGGAAGGGTCAACTAAGGCAATTTAATAGCGTTTTTCAGGGAGAAGCAGTGGAAATTGCGCAAGCAATCCGCTACCTGCAATCCCACCACTCCCGCAACGCTACAATAAAGACAGACAGTCTTTCTTCACTATACGCAATAGGAAACCCTGACCACCCATCCGATATTATTCAGGGAATACAGGAAGATCTGCGAAAAAATTCCCAACTCCATACAAGACTTGAATGGATCAAAGCGCATGCCGGCCACCACGGCAATGAGTTGGCTGACCATCTAGCCAAAGAAGCTGCCACAGGAGCAACATCTCAACAAATCAACATCCCATGGCCAGTGTCTTATCTGAAAAGAACATTGCGCTTAAAGGCAATCGGGAAATGGCAGCAGACATGGGATAACAGCGATACCGGCCGACGGGCTTATTACCATGTCAGCTACGTGGACACTACCAAAAATTTTGCAAACATGCAATTGGTAAGATACATTACGGGTCACGGACCATTTCCCGAGTTCTTTAACAAACGCGGGATAAGTAACACTAACCAGTGCGCCTGCGGACAGACTGGCTCTCCGGAGCATTATCTGACCTCCTGTCACGTTACAAAAGGGCTACACATCAACCTTCCAACGACCAATCGACAAGCTTTCTGTAAGTTTTTGATAAAACAGAGGCACTTGGTTAGAAAAATAGGGCTTTTAATGGATAAACAGGCCGACCTTGCAGTGTCTAGCACCATCTACCAACACCACAAAATAACTGTGAATTATCGTAAGGAGTATCCAACACTCCTAGTAATATAGCAAGAATCAACTATTTAATCAATTTGCATTATGCCAACCAAACGAATTATGTCTATTATCTGTACCGCAATATGTAAATAAGGACCATCTGTACCTGTTTATAAATGTACCTTAAGTACCATCACTATGTAGTTATGTTTTATGTATGTATATGTATAGTGCACCCAATGATTCTATACTCAATGTATTTATGCGCCTTGTATTTGTATATATATGTTCTAGTATAAATGTTACTGTATTGATCATTAACTGTATTAATCATTGCTTCATTATTGTATTAATACGTATTATTTAGCATCATCAAATTAATAGCACCAATTGAACCTTATTACGTACTTTCAAGTCTACGAGACTAAGGTACTATGTGCATTAAGATTGTGAGCCCAATGATTACTATGTGCCTAATACTATGTATATATATCCTCGTATGTATGATAATGTAACCATGCATCCGAATATAACATCACGCAACATGACACTTTACCGCATAGTGTTAATCTAAAGTCTTAATTCTAAAAAATCCATTGCATTAACTAACTTCTATAGCATTATTATTGAATATATTATATATATATTTGTTTACATATTATGTATCATCTGTTTATGTACCATGTATATAATGCTTATAAATCCAATGATTACTGTATGCCTAATAATTGTGTATACGTGTTTTAGTATGTATATAACTGAATCCATGGCTCCGCGCATATCATCCTGTAGCATGGCACTGTACCACATAGCGTTAAACTAGGATCTTACACTAAAACTAACAGCACCAATGAATTGTTCCAGCATTGTACTAATCTTATGCATTATGTACGTATATGTATAGTCCATCCAATAATTATGTATCCTATGTTAATTATGCACCTAATATTTGTATATTTTTACATATATAGTATTAACAAGTAGAAATATTACTGTATTCATGCGTCAGTATTTAACACTGTGTAACATGAAGACGTTTCGCATAGTGTTAAACTAGAATCTTACTATAAAATTAACTGCATTTTATACTTTCTATAGCACTGTATTATGAACCATCTGTTTACATATATATATGTATACCATGTACCTAATGTCTGAGAATCTAGTGATTATTATGTGCCTAAAAGTTGTATATATATATATTAGTATGTATATTAGTTTATCCATCCAATCGCCTACAGCATCATGTTACATGTGAAAATAACAGCACCAATTACTTGCCCTAGCATAGTATTAAGAAACTAATATATGAATATGTATATGTATATGCGCCTAATGTATATGTACCCAATGACAATTATGCACCTTATAATTGCGTATAAATGCATTATTTTTAAAATACAATAAAATTAATTGCATCAATTATCCTCAACGGCACTCTACAATGTACCATCTGCTCATGTATATAAATGTGCCATGTACCTATTGATTATGAAATCGAATGATATAAGCATTGTAAATAGGTATAGCATTGTAAATAGGAAGCTGTACCCATGCACCCGCATACATTTCTACGTAACGTGACACAGTAAGGCATAATATCAACCTAGTGTCCTATTATGAAATTAATAAGCACCTATTACTAGTTATAACATTATTTTATCGATCTAGACTTTAAGTATATGAAGTAAGTACCAAATGTTTATGTCACCAATGACTATTATGTACCAAATATAAGCGTATATACGCTTTTGTCGATATGTAATTGTGTATGTCCTTGTTTATATGTAATTGTAACCATGTGTCTACTAGTGTTATCACATATCTTGACACTGTATAGTTAATATACATCTATTACGCATTGAATAATCATGTACCTAATGTGTCTGTACACAAAATGTCTGTATATATGTATATGAATTTATGTTCTGTATATATGATAATGTAACTATGCATCTGCACATTTTATCCTGTAACACGGCACCGTATCGCAAAGAACTAACTAGAGCCAAACTCTAAAATTAATTGCACCAATTATCTGTTCAGCATTGTATTAAGTACCTATTGTTAATGTATGTTAAAGTAGCACTTACCTAACGCTTGGGTATCCACTAATTACTGTGTACCTAATACACGCGTTTTAATATCTTTGTACATTGGTTAATGTACTTAGGAAACAGTACAAATAATTCAGTAGCAAGAGACTGTACCACATAGTACTAATCTAGGGTCTAACTTTTTAATTCACTGTACTAATTACTTATTCCAGCATAACTTTGCGCACCTAATATTTCAGTATGTACACGTCTTCTGTAGTCTAATGATAATGCTTCAAAGGATCATAGTGTACTCAACATATGAGTACACACGTTATGTATATATGCTACCGTATCCATGCTTTTGCATACACCTTGTAACATGGCAAGGTATTATCCAGTGTCTAACATTAATTAGCTTTAACGCCACTTTATTAGTACCAAATTAAGTTATAAGTACCAAATTTGTATGTATGTTTATATATTAAATTATTTATAAGTATTACAAATTATTTATAAGTACCAAATTTTTATGTATGTTTATATATTAGTATATTAGCACAATGAACACGTATGGTTATCTAAATAAAGGTGGACGTGGCGCTATACCGATTAACCGTATTGGTAGAGGGGTGGTGCCCACGTCCTCCGTCGCATGTAGCATGTGAACCCACACCAAACAATTACCTTTGGTGAATGTAAGGGAATTGCTGTGACTGCATGCGGTGATTTGTCATCCCAAATTCGGCAGTTCTGGGTATTCACAGTTTCCATTCAGGTAAAAGTGGGCCTCGTCTCCCCATAAGATGTTCCACGGCCAAGCATCATTCACCTCCATTCTGGCAAGAAAGGTGAGAGCTAAACTCAATCGCTTATCATGGTCGGGATACAGTAAGTCCTGTACAAAGCTGATCTTGTACGGATAGAAGTTGATAATCTTTTGTGATATTTTCCATACCGTACTGTAAGGCATATCCATAATAAAAGGTAATTTTATTCCGTATTAATTTGCATTTCTTAACACTCTATTTTCTATTACACAGCGCCAAATATTCCCCAAGCGGTGACTTTTGGAACTATTTTTTTCGCGGAATCCTTCGTCCCCCGTCTTCTTTAATCTCCCTACAAAATGTGGCGTCATTCTCGCAAATAGATCGCGCTACAGAACACTGTGAGCACTGTCAGTTTAATTATGGCCACCCGGTATATATGTATATGAATAAATAAAGAGAGTTAGTGGTTAGAAACCGAAACAAGAGAGAAACATATAAATAGAAATAGAGAGATAGATAGATTCAAAAGGATGGAATATAAATAGACTAAGCATGAAAATTCCTTCAAGTTTCGGAGGAACTTCAGTCATAATAAAAAATCGTAGTTAAAGAAGTTTCACCAAAAGCTATCAAGCTCTTTAAAAGGAATTTAGCGACCATTGTCAAAACAACTTTTCAAGAAAAACCCCGCTCCTTCTTTTGGAATGAGTTTCCTCATTTCCGAACTATCATAATTCATGTTATGAAATAATAAACTTTCTAATAAGTCGCTGAACGTGTTACAAATGAAACATGGAATGGGCTCATTATTTCTCTGTCTGGGCGGGAAATGAAAGCAAATCTTACAAATTAGGTTTTGAGAAAATTGATGGAGAGAGTCATTTTTTAGCTATGTAAACATCAAGGTATGTTTCATGCATAATAGGAAATGGAATTTTTTTTGCCTTAGTATTACAAGAAAAATTGGGTTTGCCAACTTAAAGTATTACCATCATTTGAATATTGCTATTATAAAGTTATTCTAGGACATCATTTTAATACTGAATTTATAATTACAATTAATATCATTAAATTAACAATTATAATTAATAATATTAAATTAATAATATAAAACTAATGATATTAAAATATGATTAAAATTAATAATATTAAATTAATAATTATAATTAATAATATTAAATTATAAATGATATTTCAATATTAAATGAGTATATATATACACGCGTAAAATTTATTGTTTAAACTTAATTAAGATTAAAGTAGTATACTTCCATTTCCTCAAAAATCATTTTAATGCATTCAACTCGCATAATTTTCTGAAAAAGAAAAATTTGCTTTCATTTGAATTTAGGTGAAAATCAAAGTTAGATTAGCGTATATTTTTATAAAATTCTATCGATTTTTGAAGGCAATCTAGCATACGTTCCTCTTTCCGAAAAACAAAATACTTTCGTAATGATGGAAGAAGCAAGCAGTCAGATTGACAACTGAACGATCTACCCCCATGACTCTAGTAAAACAGTAAAAAAACTTCAAAAATCAGCATATTCGAATTTTGAAAGCATTAGAGTAAGTTTGCTAGTATATGTATATTCTTAAGAGTTGATAGTGAGAGCATCCAATACTTGGAAGCTTTCTAAAACAACGCGTTATGCTGTTGTTATTTACAAAAAAGAAGAAAACAGTTTTAAAAATTTATGTATAAAAGTAAAGAAGTTTTGAAATTTTATCAGTTTTTAAAAAATACTACGTATTGAGAAATGGATGTAAAGATTGAGAGATAGATATATATGACAGACAAAAATATGTTAACAAAAGTTAATCCTGTAATTTTCCCCCTCTATTCTAAAAACAACTTTCTTGACTGCGCCATTTTTAAGTCTCACAGAACTTGCATAAAGCTGATGACGTAGCTTTTCCAGAACTTGAATTCAAAATTGTGAAAATGAAACTTTTCTGATCTAAACCAAAACCTTCCTATTGGTAACATTCCGTATTATATAAATGCGCACTTTTTGCTTCACCTTTTGTGGTAGGTGGAGGCAATTTGGCTGTGCTCTCTTCCCATCGCAATAGTATTAAAAAATGTAATTGATCTGGGAATAGGCCCGATTAAGGTACCAAGTGAATAGTGGTCACAAATGTCCGTCAAACAACATTGCTACTCCTTTGTCTTTTTTCATTATATATGTATATATACGTGTGTGTATACTTATATTTATATGTAAAAGTCCAAAGAAATTTAATTAATTAAATATAAAGT